GGCTCCCACCCACCACCTCCTTAACCTCGGAGATGGTGAAATTGCCTCCTTGCAGCAGAATGCCCAGGCTGGAGGAACGGTACTTGTTTCCCCTGTGACCAAATCAAAGGCCCGTGGGCCCATAAGCTCAACACTCCTGTATTCCACACGCCTGCAGTAACAGGAGGTCCGCTTTGATATTGGCCGATGTACAAACACATTGATAGTAGATTTAACACCACGCACTTTAATGCTGGCAATTTTAAAACCCATTTTGAGAGTTTATAGAATTACGCATAGACCCAATGTCCATTTACCTGTGGTCTTCTCACTGAGAAGGTGCTTGTGGTCTGCTCACTGGGAAAATCCCTGCATCCCTATAATGTGGGTGAACTGTCGCACACTGTTGGCAATGAGGTAGCTGTCCTGTTCCTCCCTGGGGGTGCTGCTCTGATCCAATATCATTGGGGTGAGAACGAAGCCAGCAAGGTCCAGTTCTGAGCCCAACAGAGGGACTGACATGCTCTGCTCCCTATTCAGGGCGTCGCTGGTCCCAGTTGCCCAGGGCTGTGGTGCGGTGGGTACTCCTTGGTTCCCAATGGCTGGAGGTCGGGTTTCACTGGGCCCCTCATGCCATCTAACCCCCAGTTGCTTCATAAAGCTTGAAGGATCATTCAAATACCACACAGACCAGTTCTGCTCAACATACTCAATGACCAGTGTGCTTAATTATACTGAGACATCCACTAAATCAAAGGTGCTGAAATAATGCTGTAAGCACTGCTTTAAAGTAGAATATAATAAATCCATATAACTTCCTCTGTAATAAAGTATATGCTGTATAAACATGCTATTTATGTTTCCCTCCCAAAATAGTTCAATACAAATAAAAATAAGAGACCATTTACATCATTTATAAAGTTTTTCATTTCTAATAAACGTAAGTTGCAGAAGATAAAAATTTCTAGTGTTTACATTTGATACAAGCAAGGCTGGAGGAGAAACTCACAACATTTCCTTGTTCTTTTGCAGACATCCCCCATTCCCTGAGTCCCATTGTAATTAGTCCCATGATGTCAGTCATGGCTGAATTGCTATAAATCATGACGTTTTAAAGTCGCAGGGCTGTGGATTCAAGTCTCTATCTAGGGGATATTCCAATGTAGTGCTACAGTGTGCTGTACTGTCACAGATGCTATCTGTGAATAAGACATTAAGCTCAAGCTATCTGCTCCCTTAGGTGGAAATTGAATATCCCTGTGAAGCAATTCCACTTTTGTGGTGACCAGACCAATATTTATCCATCAATACAGAAAAACATCATCTGTTCATTAAAACATTGCAGCTTGCAGAAGCTTCCTGCACACCAATTGTCTAATGTCAACAATTCAAAGGTACTTCACTGGCTGTGAAGTGTTTTAGAAAGTCACTATTAAAATGTAAGTCTTTCTTTATGGGACCATGTTTTATGTGAAAGATACTATAACAGGGCATCTTGTTTTTTTTGCAAGGGCTTGGCTTAATGTATGACATTACTTTTCCCACAAGCTAAGTTTTCCCTAAAGCTAAATAAAATGTATGAACTATTAGTGGAGTGCTGAAATTAAATGTAATTTCACAGTAATTGATAACAGTACCTTTGTAAATGTGTCATAACAAATGTTTATTATAAATTAATAACCCATGTTACTTAATGTTACTAAACTTACACATTAATAGCATTTGGTAGCTTACAAAAATATTGTAAATGATTCCAGTGACATTACAATGGTTTCATCAAAAGATGTTAATCACTTAATGTCATAGTCTATCTGCATGATTAGCAATAATGATATTAGCAACCAATTAAATAGAAATGAAGTATATGTATGTGTGCATATATTATATATATATAATATATACACAAACAGACACACATTCATATAGACTACAGTATCAGTTTTTACTCCTTTTGATGATGGCCACTAATTCTAGCCTAATCCACTGCCATAAGTAATGTTTAGTTGTGTGTAAAGACATAAAGATGGAATTGTACCATAATGGTCAAGAGACAAGTAATGACTGGAGGCTTTTTCCAATGAGTATGGAGTGTAGTGTGTTAATTGTATAAAGTAGTTTCCTAATCAACCTCTTCAGAGATGTTGTGACATATCTCTGGAGCAGGTGAGATTTGAACCCTTGCCTCCTGGTGCAGAGTTGAGGATTCCACTGTATATCAATAATTATATTCAGTACTCACCAGTCTGCTTTCTTACAAGTCCTGCATGCCACACCAGAGCTCCTACCAGTCTGGTTGATTTTCAACTGCCCACTGAAGTGATCTAGCCAGCTTTTCAAATGCACAAGACCACATTAGGATCAACGAAGGAGCACAGGAACACTGCACAGTTTATTTAGATTAAAATTCCAAAAGTATGAAAACCAAACACGCCTGTCATAAATGTCATTGAACATTTCAACAGAACTTCTATATAAAAGGCACTGACAAAGGAGACTTGGTGAATCAATGTTTAATATTCTTCATTTCAGTGTGGTTGTGCACAATGGATAACGCACCTGACTACGGATCAGGAGATTATAGGTTCAACTCCGACCTGGCTCAAGTACAATTTGCAATTTCTTTACGGGGAGGCAACGGCCTAGTGGTATTATTGCTGGACCGTTAATCCGGAGACCAGACAACATTCTGGGTACCTGGGTTCAAATCCCACCACAGCAGATGGTGGAATTTGAATTCAATAAAATATCTGGAATTAAAAATCTAATGATGACCATGAAACCATTGTCGATTGTCAGAAAAACCCATCTGGTTCACTAATGTCCTTTAGGAAAGGAAACTGCCATCCTTACCTCGCCTGGTCTACATGTGACTTCAGACCCACAGCAATGTGGTTGACTCTGAATTGCCCTCTGGGCAGTTAGGGATGGGCAATAAATGCTGCCTAGCCAGTGACGCCCTCATCCCATGAATGAATAAAGGAAAAAAAAGGAGGGAGATCAAAGAGAGGTACAATGACTGTATCTCCACAATGGATGTACTAGCAAAGCTGTTGCCCATGGCAGCTTAACTGTAACTTTCCATGTGGATTTATAGTTGACCTGCACACCTGTCTCTCTTGAGCTGTTTTCTAGCCTCAGTGGAGTCAATTACAGTACACAGATAGGAATTTATATGAAATTTGACAAGGAAGACAAAGGAGCTTTTCATTTGCTTTTATTTCATGAGGCTTGAGTTGCAAAATGGGTTTACTCTGTATAACCCTTCTTTACATTTGACAACATGGGAAGGTTTCCCATAGCATTGTTAATCTTTCATTTGTAAATCCTTTCCCAATAATTTGGCAGTTGTTCACCCTCAGGATATCAGTCTCTTGCACCTCCCCTGAACAGCTATCTCCCCATCCCAAACAAATGTTTTATTTTGTTCGTTCAAGGCATGTGGGTCAGCATTTATTGACCATCCCTAATTGCCCTGGAGGGGATGGTGGTAAGTTGCTTCCCTGAACCACTGCAGTGCTTTGGGGTTGTAGGGATATCCAGGGATAGAGTGCTAGAGACTGAAGTAAGGTGATCCAGGGTGGGAAGAGAATAGAGCAGGACAGACTGAGCTGGCAGTCAGCTAGCCCCGTGATGTATACACAGGAGCAGTGTGCCCAACTCTATTCCATACCCGCTACTCCGCCCCAAAGTCAAGATCCTGCAAATCGGAGGGAGTTTCTCCCAAAGCAGGTTGTGAGAACTGACATTCACATCCTTGTCTCAAGTCAAGCAATTATCTATTAGAGCTGAGATGAGGAAAGGCTTCTTCACTCAAAGCATTGTGAATCTTTGGAACTACTTACATTCAGTTGCCAAGAATATTCAAGATAGAGCTTAGCGGTTTTTGGTCACTAAGAGAATAGAGGAATCTAAGGAGTGAGTGGGAAATGGATCTCAGCTGGATCAACCAAGATTATATTGAATGACAGTGCCAAATGGCCAAGTGGCCTCACTCCTGCTATTATTAATGTCTTTATATTGTCATGACTCACAATTTTGCAAGAAGGAGAACAGTAACATAGAAACATAGAAATAGGTGCAGGAGCAGGCCATTCAGCCCTTAGAGGCCGCACAACCATTCAATATGATCATGGCTGATAGTGCAATTTCAGTATCTCACTCCCGCTTTTGCTCCATACCCATTGATCCCTTTAGCCATAAGGACCACGCCCGGCTCCCTCTTGAATATATCTAATGAATTGGTCCCAACAGTTTTCTGTGCGAGAGAATTCCACAGGTTCGCAACTCTCTAAGTGAAAAAATTCTTCCTCATTTCAATCCTGAATGGTTTACCCCGTATTCTTAGACTGCTGGTTAATAATAACTATAAATTCTGGCTATATCTCTAAATTTCTGGAACAAAAACAGAAGTTGCTGGAAAAGCTCAGTAGGTCTGGCAGCATCTGTGAAGAAAAAAATCAGAGTTAACTGTTCGAGTCCAGTAACCCTTCCTCAGAGGACAACATATTCTGAGGAAGGGTCACCGGACCTGAAACGTTAACTCTGATTTTTTTCTTTACAGATGCTGCCAGACCTGCTGAGCTTTTCCAGCAACTTTGTTTTTGTTCCTGATTTACAGCATCCGCAGTTCTTTCGGTTTTTCTCTAAATTTCCGACTTGTGACCCCACTACTTTAACACCAAAACATCTTTAATCTTACTACTCCTTTGTTCGTCCCTTAAATATAAATGCAGGTCACATATTTATCAGACACGTATGTACAAGCCGTCTGTACTAAATTGTCATTAGCCAAACTGCCCATTCAATACTTAATTGCAGTGTAGCACAATTAGCAAACGAGAGGCTGGTTATGCCAAATTAACTACAAGTTCAAATGAAAAGTGTTCAGCTGGGAACAATCTGGTTTAGCTAGGCTCCTGTATAGAACAAACACAGCCTGACACGGTGAAAGGTTTCAAAATTAGACTTCTTAACCAGCGCATTTTATTTTTCCTAACTCCTAAACCTTTCCCATATTTCAGGTGGAACATTCTGGGTGCTCAAGGATCTCTCCTGAGTCATTTTATTGAACCGATCTACCTACAGAGCATTGTGTTGGGAAGCACACATCACGTTGGTCACATTTCCCGTGCATTATGCCAACGGCTGGAGGATGTTGTTCAGCTGCTACCACCTTATCGATGCAACCAGCCTCTCCTGAGCGGTATGTTATCAGTCTTATAAACAGTTAGCTGACTGTCTGGCCTCATTGCAGCCTGTGATGTGTGGTCATCTGATCTCTGGGCATGGACTTTGCCCTCCTTAAAAAAATGCTGGGTAACCAGTGGAATAAACATGTTGCTGCAGTGTTAGATCATACAGTATCTGGGGAAATTAAGGATTGAGGTATTTTAAACCTAAATGAATTTCAGCTAAAACAAACAGAAAATACTGGAGAAACTCAATGGGTCTGTCAGCAGCATCTGTGGTGAGAGAAGCAGAACTAACATCGCGAGTCCTTTATAACTTTTCTGCACAACTGAGGAATGGCAGATGGAATTTAATTCTGATAAATGCAAGGTGTTGCATTTTAGTAAGACAAGCCAGGGCAGCACTTACACAGTTAATTGCAGGGGTCTAGGAAATGTTGTCAAACAGACAAACCTTAGGGGTGCAGGTACATAGTTCTTCAAAAGTGGTGTCACAGCTAGGCAGAGTGCTGAAGAAGGCATTTGGTACACTTGCCGTAACAGTCAGCGTATTAAGTGTGAGAGTTGGGACACCACATTGAGGCTGCACAATACATTGGTAAGGCCAGTTTTGGAATGGTGCGTGCAGTTCTGGTCACCCTGCTGTAGGAAGGATGTTATTAAACTGAAAACGGTGCAAAACACATTTACAAGGATGTTACACAGTGTGGAGGGTTTGAGTTATAAGGAGAGACTGAATAGGCTCGGTATGGATAAGTTGGGCAGAAGGGTCTGTTGCTCTGCTGTATGACTCTATAACTCCTGTTCTGAAAAAGTCATACAGGACTTGAAATGTTAACCCTGCTTCTCTGTCCACAGATGCTGCCAGACCTGCTGAGTTTCTCCAGCATTTTCTATATTTGTTTCAAATGTTCAGCATTCACAATAATTTGCTTTAGTGTGAGTAGAGGCTTTAGGCATGTCAGTTGATGTATTCTGCAATGTTTTACACTGGTTCAAGACTTCAGTTCACCTGAATTTGATGATGTCCACATACACCAACCATAGAAGGTTAAGAGGTGACTTAATAGAGACATACAAGATGATCAGAGGATTAGATAGGGTGGACAGTGGGAGCCTTTTTCCTCGGATGGTGATGGCTAGCACGAGGGGACATAGCTTTAAATTGAGGGGTGATAGATATAGGACAGATGTCAGAGGTAGGTTCTTTACTCAGAGAGTAGTAAGGGCGTGGAATGCCCTGCCTGCAAAAATAGTAGACTCGCCCACTTTAAGGGCATTTAAATGGTCATTGGATAAACATATGGATGATAATGGAATAGTTTAGGTTAGATGGGCTTCAGATTAGTTTCACAGGTCGGCGCAACATCGAGGGCCAAAGGGCCTGTATTGCGCTGTAATGTTCTATGTTCTATGTTCTATAGCCTGGTTTGAAGATGCAGGATTTAATGTTTTGCATTTGCCTGGGGAGACTTTTCAAATTGTGCTCATTTTCTTAAGTTTGCCAGCAGCTTTAGGGACATCTTAAAATCTTCAAAACAATGGAGTAGAAGCACTACCCCTATAATTTTAACTTAAGAATAGATGCCAGATAGTTATTATCTGTTCTAAACAAGTGGTATATACTTAAAGATTCCACTGACCTCATGCAGCATTTTAGTTTATTGAATGAAACTGAATTTGTTCGTAACTCAAGGTTCACCCAAGTTTAGGATGGAAAGATGTTTTAAACCCATAGTTCTTAATTGTTTCTGCCACTATTGAGCATGACAGTAATTCCCTTTTTTATATATAATTGTCGCATTGTGGTCACAGCCCACTATGCTTTCCCACCTTCCAACCCTTCATAGGAATACTGCAGGGATGAGGAATTTGGTGGCCCCAAGGAGAAGAGGGATCTGATGTCTCAGGGATCGGACCCCCATGGGAATTAATGACTGCTGCTACCCACATTAAACATTCCTCCCCCAGCCCCTGCTACAACACTAACTCTATCCCAGCGGCAATCTTTTCTGGAGTGTCATTGCTCAGAGGGGAATCAGTCTGTCAACAGACTAGTGTCAGGACAGGGATCCTGTAGGAGACAAAATGGTACATACTGTATCATTAAAACTCTACAGCATACATGGAAAACACGATTCCCATACTCCCAGAAAGCAACTCCTTCCTTTCATTTGCAGGACCCATCTTGGTAAAAGATAGGGTTGTCAAGTCAGTTAAACATTCTTGCATTCATATTCTATTATCTTCAAATCTTCATCTGTATGTGTTTGATTCTGTTTGGTAACAGCAAATCTCAGAAATGATACCAACTTGTCGATGCCACATATTCTTTAACTTAATAACAAGTTTGATTATCTAAGATGTTCCCTGATTTTGCAATATAAGTTAAGGCACTGAGTAAGAGTTGTGTTTTTACTCTCAATCTGTCCAAGTTCTTAAAGTTCCTCGGTCCCACAGACTTCATCCACACCCCCTTGGTGTGCTCTGAGCACAACTCTATACCTAGACAGTACCCATGTTCATATGTTTGCACAGATTTCAGGTCAGAAAATTAACTGAGAACTGAAGTAAATCGTCCAACAGTGACAAATTCAAGTCGTCAGGGCTTAGAATTAAGAAATCAACTGCAGTAGGGGCACCAATTTGCCATAACCTCTTTGCACTTTTCCCTGTATGCGATGTAATGTCATGACAATTTTCATCCACATAAGGAGTTATCACAGTGCATACAGGTAAATAATGACCATTTTGTAATTAAACTCTGGAAACCCATGTTAAAAGTAAAATAAAAACAAGGCTGAAATTTAGAATTTCACTTTTATGCTCTTAGCTTCCAGACCATGCACACTGTTGCTGAACAGCATAATTTTTTTCTATTATCTTTAAAATGTCAGTCATTAAGTTCTTAATTTCAGTTTAATTTGCATTTTAGAGATAATTGCTTACTTAGACAGAAGCCAATTTAATGGAGCGTTGGTACTTGGGTAAAGAACACAATTTGGAAATATTAAGCACCATGGCTTCTTAATGTTGCGGTGAACCAATGAAACGACAGCATTGTTGAATGGTTACTGTGGTTGTTAATTTCATAAAATGGGCTTTCCTTTTAATCTGTTTCCTTTCACGTGCTTTATTAACAGCAAATTTTGTCAGAACGCTTTGAAATATTTAATTCTAACAAATCTTGACACTGAGTTTCCCAGCAATCAGCACCATGATAGTCTCTGAATAGAGACAGGTGACTTGTCATTGCAGCACAGTCATATTAGCAGTCACTGCTGCCACCAAAATAGAACAGGTCGACACAAAGGAAAACAGCGTATCCTGTCAGCAGAATCCAATTTAGCATAGGAAGATTGCATGGCTTCTGGAAAGTATCATCTAATCTTGTCAGCATTTATTCCCAATCCCTAATTACCCTCAGTCCTACAGAATGGTTTACAAAGCTATTTTAAAGACCGATCAAAAGTCAACCAAAAGTGAAACGTGAGCCCAAATCAGAAAAGGGGAAGACAGGTTTCCTTCCCTAAAGTGCATCAGTGAATCAGTGAGGTTTCTATGAAAATCGGACAGGGTCATGATCATTTTTTACTGATGCTTGCATGTTAAGATTCAAGGTGGGTGGGTTCTAGGTGGGCTGGCTTTAGGTTTGTGATTTTTAATCTTTTTTTTAAATGTCCATGATAGGGGAGTTCATAACTAGGGGGCATATTTTAAAGGTGAGAGGATGAAGTTTTAAAAAAAGACATGAGGGACAATTTTCTTTACACAGTTATGGAATGAACTGCTAGAGGAAGTGGTGCTTGCAGGTACAGTTATAACATTTAAAAGACTTTTGGATAAGTACGTGAATTGGAAAGGTTTGAAGTGATATGGGCAAGTGGGACTGGTTTAGTTTTAGAACATAGTCAGCGTGGACTAGTTGGACCGAAGAGTCTGTTTCCATGCTGTATGACTCTATTCCCAACTAACTCAAAACCCTCCGGTTTTGGAGATATAAAATTTATCACAAAGGGGTAGATTCTTACTTTTTTTAAAAGAAAAGCAGAGTTTAAAGAGTGATCTTTGACTTTTGTTTTACAAAAAGATGGTTAAAACTTCACTCTTTTTAACTGATTTCCTTTTGATTTTTTTTCCCTACATGACAATGCCTATGGGTTTTGTAGAGTGCTCTTTGATCCTAGACAGGGAGGAATAACTGATTCTGACAATTTGACAGTATGGAGGAGCTAAATTAACATCAGTCATTACCCAAGGCTTTTATTAAAACTTACAGTCATGTTAATTCAGCTTAGTCTCACTGTCAGCCTCAGTAATTCCTCAGAGTCAGTCTCCACCAAAGCCATTCGAGAAGCCACTTCCCTGGCGTTTTTCACAGTGTTGACGAGCTAATGGGTATTTTACATTTAAATTGTGCACTTGGCTCCTTCCCCATCAGCTGCAGCTAACATAAAATCTTAATGATCGACTCCGGCCTGACAGAAGCAATGGTTTGACAGCTCCTCTCCTGGCCTGCTCCTGATGCAGACTAGCACTGGGTGGCTTACAAGTATGAACATAGGAATAATGACAGACCCATAAAGATCCCCAGGTCCATAAAGCTCATCCCAAACAATTGGTATTCCTCATGTATCACAATATATACACTCTCGGCACACCCTGGCCCCGTTCCCCAAAACCAGAGCCACGTCATCTCCCTGGAACATTGAGAAAATAGATTTTTTTTTCAAATCTGAGGATTCCTCCCTGATTCATTTAGACAATCAAATGGATCACTTTTGCCGTAGGTGTCCTACAGTGTCTACTCTTCTCAAGAGCTGAAGTGTGCCCCAACCAAAAGCAGATCCAATATCAAGGATTTCAGTTGTACAGACCTTTCCCAGAGGTCCACATTCTCTGGGGAATGAATAGAGGAGAGTAACACTGGGAGACCTCCATTAAGAACCATGCATTTATGCAGTTGATGAATTATGTGAACACAGAGATATCAGCATCGAAAAACAACATTGTG